TTGTTCATATGAGCCGGGGCGACCTCGCTCCGAGTTGCTTGCTGTCTGTGTATAGTGGAGAGGGGGGGGGGGGGTGGACGAGGTAGTATTTTCTTTGGGGAATTGCGTGTTTCAGCAGTATGGATATTGCAGGCTGTGGCAGAAGGAATAAACAGACTTTCTCTGTCTTTCTACCGCTCTTTCTTCAGGGATTGGACTGTTCACAGAGGCAGTTCCGTGACTGATGTTTGTCTGTGTTATGCGTCTATTTATTTGTTTCGCAAACCCAATGCATTATTAACAAGACACTGTTATCCTCTCAGCGTATTCTCCGTTTGCATCATTGTCTTTCTACAAGTGTAAATGAGCTGGGTCGCTGCAAAGCCTCAACTGTAATACCAAAGTTTATGGTGAAATTTGACTCAAAGGACACATGACATCGTCCTGTCTTTCTGATGTAGTCTCGTGTTTCAGTGAGTGGAAGAATTCGACGTGATAAAAGTCTTTCTCACTGCAGGAGAAGAGGGCACAGGTGGTTTTATGTCATATGGAGGTTATGCCTCCACGATTAGCCGACTAAATACCACCGTTCCTATGGCCCGTGAAATTAGCAGGGATCGTTTGGAAGGAAGCATATCGAGAAAAAAAAGGTTTGGAAGATGACATAAAGATGTCTGGACCGTTATAAATGGTGATAAATTCTGCCATTCAGTGCGTGTTTCCTTTCGACTCCAAGACACATTAGATATTAGATTGAGCGGACCCGTAAGCCTCATCTCAGGAGGAAGTGCCTGTAGGTTTGCCCGAGAGAAACTTGAATAAAAATATTGCCGTGAAAGGTTTATTCACCCACACAATCACACCAATAGGAATTTCAGCCATAACAGGGACAAGGACCGGCAGAAAGCGAGTCAGTTGCAAAGGACACCTTTTTTCTGTGGATTTTTTTCCCCCTCATGCATACCAATGTATTTAGCTCATCTATAATCAAAGGAAAGGTTGAAAATCTTGTTAGGCTCTCTCTCCACTGGCAGGACGTGTCCTGAGATTGATACAGCGCACGTATACACACTGGAAAGAAGAAAGAAGCATGAAATTGAGGAAATATCCAAACAAATATTGCACAGAACTTGGCTTCATTAGTTTAACTGTGATTTTTAGAGATAATGACTTGATAAATGTCTCTTCTCATTAGATTGCTTTTTGTGGCTTGGAAACGAAGCAAATAAAGCAAAGCCCCTCTGCTTTTGAACTGCAGGTTGGGATTCAAGACGGATTTGTTAAAAGGTCCCAGAGTGTGCCGGCAGTATCAACATGTTTTCTTGACTCTGGGTATCTGAGTGGAAGAGTAAATGTTTGGTCTGCAGGAGAATGCATCTCACTGCTGTAGAAAATAAATGCATAAAGTTGGGGTAAAGTTTGTCCTCAGTGTACTAGATCATCTCTGGAGCCACTGAGGAGGGAGCTCTTCGAACGGGGGATGCAACATTAACAGAAGGGGTGTTAAAGTGCAGACTCTGAAACTACATGTTATGTTTTAAGAAATCACATGTGGGAGAATAAGAATACAAATGCCGTGAAGCTGAGTTGACAATTTGCATAGAAACTAAGTTAAAAGGTTCATTGCGTCAGGGTGGATGAAGAGGTGTTCTCACCTTTGCTTGTTCCAAAAATGATAAATAACTACTTCAAATAGAAATGTTAGAAACCAAATCTTGCCTTGGACGAATGCTAAATAAGGACATTATTGTCAACTAGAATTATAAATTATTTGTAATGATCTTTTAAGGCGAGAAGGAGGGTAACATTTGCAAAAAGGATAAACACATTTCTGTTGAGGTGTCGAACTACAGAGAGAAAATGACAAGCAACCGGCCAAATATCATCTATGTTCAAATGGAATAAAAACACCCACTGAAAATATGCAAAGGCAATGTGATTAAATGTTTGGAGACCAAAAGACGCGCTGAAATGAATGTCAAAGCCGTCCTGATCTCCAGATGACATCTTTCAAATCAACGGCAATAACAAATTCTTGCTGCTAAAATGATTTAATTTTTTTTTCTTTGGTGGGGGAGTTCCCGCAGCAAATTAAAGATAGGTTTAGACATTTCCTAACATTAGCCACTTTGCTGAAGCCTCTATGAGCCAAAAATAAAACTTTGATAAGGGTGCGTTCAGTGTACATAATTGTTGTTGACCCTGCGTGGGTGCGTACAGTCTGAAACAACCTCATTAACGAATAACTGGCATTTTCCAGGAGAGCCGGGAACCGGGATGACATCGGTCTGATGAGTCCCTTACATAATTAATATCCCAAAGCATAAAGCATCTCTGCACCTTCACGCTGAGAAGGGCCCACTGTGCAGCCGACCTGTGATCTCCCTGCATGTGCTGTTGCATACAAATTTGAAGGACCAATCCTGAAAGGAAGAAGGAAAGTCTCAGAAGAGACCAAGAACAAATGCTCTAAAAATAAAAAATAAAAGGCCTTATGAGTTGAGGGCTTTTTAGTGACTTTTAATTGCTCCAAGTGGCCTACAAAGCACAGTAAAATGCCATCTGTGCTGCCATAAAGAAGGGAGCCCACATTTGAAGACAAATTGTACTTTAGGGTGGACACATTTAATACTCCAACATGGCTGAAAACTTGGGTGAATCTATTGTTACAGCTACCAACAAAAAATACCAGTTGGCCTCGTAAACCTTGAATAATTAAGATATATTTTATACAATTACGTTGTATCAAGGAGCAAAACAGTGTTTCTATGTAAGACATGAAATAACAACAAACAATCCTCAATCCATGCACTTAAATTCTGTTGTGCGGAAATTAGATGAAGCAATAACTTGCGTGTTTTTGTTTACATTTCCCATTTGCCGTGCGCGCGGGCTGAATGTTAATGCACAAACGGCTAGCTTAATTATCTAAGGGGATCATATGGAAAATTGTTTTCCATAACAGTATGGACATAATTAGCTATAGGCCAGTTGAGCCCACTCTCCTAATCACTGTGATTCACTGGCAGTTTCTACTGCTATATGCAGTCCAATTGCTGGCATCAGCAAGCGATCAGCGGGACTTTCTCTTTGTTCTCCGCTACATTCTGCTACACACAAGATGAAAGTGTGTACATGAAAAAAAAAAAAAAAAAGCAAATGGCCATCAGCAAAACTCAAGTTTCCGTACGCTCACATGTATGATATCATCAACTATGAATGCAACCACTTCACAGGCCGAGCGGTGGTTGGTTTTCAGTCCAACGCCACTGGAAGGAACAGCCACACCCATGTCTTTTTTTTTTGTACATGTAAGGGTTAAATATGTTTTAAAAAGGCTCTTACATCTCCTGACTTTTTTTTCCTCCAATGCCGTGCCGGCTTTGTTTGCACCATTTAACCACGACCAACCATTCAAGAGGGCTCAATCACTCAAGAATGTGGTCATTTTGAGAAAGAAAAAGTTTTAAAAAGTGATGGTTTGGTCGAAGCTTTGCAAGCTAAATTCTTTAGCCGTTGTAAGCTTGATTGAGAAACGCACTGCCTTATTTTCAAACCAGTCTTAACAAATCCCTGCAGCGTATCCTCTTTTGTCTTCCTCCAAGTAAGTAAGAAACTATATTTCATATTCACCAGACAATCCTCAGTTTTTGCCTCCCAAAGTTTCTTCTACAAATGCCAATGTCTCTGTACGGACCTTGGCAAGCAGACCAGCTTCCACACAGGAAGTTCAAAAGTGTTTCTCTTTTCTCCCATGACTTAACACCACGACGTGTATAATACAACAGTGCCTCCCTCCACAGCTCTACGAAGATCTCAAGATTGAATTGTCCAAAATGAGGTGAAGCGATACAGTTTGCCCTTTGACCCGATACTACAACAGAGAACTCACCTGTGGTAATTGCATGTTGCTCTGCTAAATTAGACAACCTAACTGCAACTTACACAATTGCACAAAACAGGAGTTGACTTTTTGAATTACAGTGCTTTTGCATTTGCTCAGTCCACACTTGAATTGCAACAACACTGATATTCAACATCAGATATTATTGATGGATGAAAGGCTGGATTAAAATATGAGAAGCGGGTAGACAAATATGTTGCTGTAAGTAAATTGCTGTAAATCAACTTGTTTCTCTTCAACTCTTTTATTCAGATTTAGTAACACCCTGCATTTAGTTGGGTGGGTGGAGGGGGGGGGGGTCAGTGATATTGTCTGTGGGTTTGAGGTGGAGAGATTGAATGGAGGAAGAGGACGCTGGTGGGTTTGTGTGTGTGCGTGTGGGGGGGTGGGGGGGGATTATCGCTAAAGTTTGATTTTCAAACAAATGTCAATTGTGATGAAAAAATAAATTGCACCACAGGGGGGGGGCTGCACTTGTATGGACGACTCCCTTGTTTTATCCTACGAGACACTCCCTTGTGATCATACATCAAAATGGGTCGTCGTGGCGCAGGGGTTAGAGAAGGTGTGCTGGGGAAGCACAAGGTTGGTGGTTCGAGTCCAGGCTGCCCCATGTTCCATGTCGAAGTGTCCCTGAGCAAGACACCTAACCCCTAATTGCACCCTAGGCAAAACTGTGAAAAAGCCATGGGTTTAAAGTGTAATGTAGGTCGCTTTGGATAAAACCGTCTGCTAAATGACCTGTAATAAAAAATGTATGTTTGATTGATCTTGGCTCGTGTTCCATGAGACGACGCTTTCCGTTAATGTTCCAATGTCTTGGAACTTGGGGTTCAATATTTCCATTCAATGCATGTTACTCTATAAACAAAAATACAACTCTTTTTTTCTCTCTCAGGAAAAAGTCTGTGTTGTTTTTTCTGTAACAAGTGCTACGATACGTCAGTGCATTTCAGCACCGCGGACAGCGACTAAACACCCGCTCTCTGTTCCCCTCAGGCCTTTGGGTTTCCTCAAACGCATTTTTACCAGACTATCAATAAACTATTTTTTTTCTTCAACCTCCTGCCTTCAAGTGCAAATTCCTGGGAATGAACAGCGATAAATGCGCTCAGCCTATACAATACAATATCTTTTATTAAGCGGGACATTTAGGGATTTGTCTATTATTTCCACAATGTACATTTGGTCAGCAACGTCACTGAACATTAAATCCGTCAAAGCTACGCAGATTCCGAAATGTAGAACACACAATAATGTGAATATGTACTTTATAAATTATATAATTATGCTTTAATAAAAGGGCTCTAAGTTGTCGCGGTGGCTGAAATATGTCGCCTTTTTTTCCTCTTTTAATAAACTCTTCGGCGGCCTACATTTGGCTTAGGTTTCAATATGTTCAGCATCCAAACGCAACACCATTGACGGCACGAAACATAAAGTAAAAACTTCCATTCGTGCAAAAAAAAAATGCCTTGGGCGTGAGAGCACTTCTTCTCTGGTTGTCCATAATTCCATATACTTCACGAAAACCATATATTCTTTAAGGCTATACAAACATAAAATAGAGCATGACACACTCGGCCTGTCCAGGACGTCAGTTCCTCCACTCATCATCTTCGCCCTTGTCCGTTTTCCCAGGTACACCCGTTTGTCTGTTGGCAAAGTTTGTTTTCCAAGCAAGGAAAAAAAAAGGAAAAAAATCCACATTCCCGACAAGCACACGCCCCTGGCCGATCAATACTTTTAATCATCCAGATTTCGTTAAAGTCGACTGATGGATTCGAATATATGAAACTCCAAGGAAACGTTCATATTTGACTAGATAGTGGACGAGTGTAAGTATACAGATATTCGTCGGCTTCCTTGGCAGACAGTTATTTAAGTTGAAAGTAAATGGCATGGGTTTTTTTTTTCTTCTTTTTTTTTTCTTTTTCAGAGTCTCTTGCGACGTGGATCATCGCAGGTTAGATTATAGAGGAAACACTAGAAAGCCTGAGAAGGTGGAGTATTTCCATCCGCCCATTAAGGTGCCTCGTTCCAGCTTCAGGGAGACGCGGTCCTCCCGTTCCACCATCAGCAGTACTCCGTTGCTCGCCGCCTCTCTCGTAACGTCCTGGTCACCGGCGAATGCTGATATAACTGGATAATCGTTCTGCATCAGGTTCACCTGCAAGACAGGAGAGAGAGTTCGGTGTCATGCTCGGGTCTCCGAGTGAATGCTGACTGACGGCAACCCAACTGCTCTATAATTGCTCACCTGTATGGTTTGTCTGTTGTAGACCTTCACCACGTGGAAGCTGAAACTGTATATCCCCCTCCTCGGAGCCTGGAAAACACTCGCTTTGAGATCGAAATGGTTGCCGATGTTCACTAAAACCTGCGCGAGAAGGGCACGAAAAGAGACAAGGCATTAGATATTTACCCCGTGCAAGCTTCACTGAACACAACATTTGTCCCCCCCCAAATCGAATCGTTTGCCCCTGCCACGCTTAGTGACTGCAGAGAGGCGTATCAGTCTGTGCCAAATGGTTTAAGGCTCCGCTTCAGTCGTAGTTTGGGGATGGTTCACACGTTGATGTGTAGAATAGGCTCCTGTCCAAAAGCAGATAAGTGGACCATCCCAGCAGAAGCAAAACAACGCATGTCAGTGCGACAGAGGCCCGAGACTTACATATGTGATCTATCTGCATGGATGAAACACTCGTTTTGATAGAGCATCCCTCAATCCCACCAATTACGCAAGGCATTGAATTAACAATTTCCCAAGGAAATAGTATAATTATATTATGGGTACAGACACTCAAGGCTCAGATCACCCACAGCGAGTACAGTGATATGAAATCAATGAAACATAACCTTAAACAAGTTCCGCTCCCGCAAAGCAAATATATCGCATGTATATTGTAAAGAGAGGGGAAAAGGGAAAACTGTTTTTGGAGCTACGGATCCGACTGATATCCGGTTAATATTAGACTCCTGCAGAACTCTGCAAAATTCAGTGAACATCTGACCTGGTCAAAGTAGATGGTCATAGACGTGTTGCTCATCTCTGACGGCTCGTGGTTGGTTCCACGCACGGCGGAAAAAGCCACTTTTGCCCCAGCGGAGCGGACGGATATGCCAAGGGAGGAGGTGACCCCTCCGTCCGAGGAAGGGTTAGAGTCGCAAACCACAAGACATTTTCCTTCGAGCACGATGGGCTCCGTATCATTCTGGCCGAGGCAGAAAGCCAAGCCGCATCCCAAGAGAAGGACCAGTGCCAGTACGGCGCAGGGTCCCGGGCAGCGCGAGGGCACCATGGTCGGATCGTTGATCCCGCGCACACTGATACTACCCGGCAGCCCCTTGGAGGTTTGTTAGTTCTCGGTCACCTGGTCCGGACTTGGTACCTTCTCTCCACTCTCCCTCTCTCTCTCCTCTCTCTCTCTCTATTCCGCTACTGCGATGCTCCCTCGCTTTCTCTAAGCACCTCTGACACACAGACGCACTCCGAGTCGCTCCGGCGGTAACTACCCTCCCTCCTGGGCGTCTGAGTTGTTTTTGGGAAAGTATTCAGGCAGCTGTTGTTCCAAATCCTGAGATGAAATTAAAATAATTACATCAGGCAGCAGTAACAAAACAATTTCAAACAGTTCACTCGTTTATCCTGCGTGCGTAAAATGGCTATCGTGCGTAAAAAGACAATCGGGAGTCAATAATAGCAAAATAAAATAAAAATCGGGTAATGTTACACATTTCGTACATTCCATTATTGACCAAGTCGAGAGTGCCACTGCGGGTGGTCTCTGATTACTGTGCGCCTCAACAATTTGGTGACCAATTATAGTTATATTATATATAATAACAGTTATATTTTCCTTTGGTTCTAATCGGTAATTGTTGCAAAACAACCACTTGCCATTTTTTTTGGTTGAGAAAAAGTAAATCACGACCTACCTGTGCAATCCATCTCGCTGGTATGCTCCCTGTCTCTCTCAGACTGTGAACTGAGTTCTCAGATCGGTGGTGCACAAGCATGAGTCTCTGGGCTCCCTTCCGAGGGACAACTCACGCCCATTCTTTGTTTGCCACTGCAACGGGACTCTTCAGAAGTATTCCGCAATTAAGAGCACATGGGCGGACTGAAGGGTTTGTTTACATATTCATTATTTGGATGCTGTGAACTCAGAGGTCCCACGGGTGGACAGAGATCACTTGCAGTCATGTCAACGTCTGCCATTTACATCATGGTGTCTCATGTCCCACCCTGCTTGATCTAAAAAATAATGCGGTTTGCCGCGGATAACCTTGCTGCTACATGGCACATGCAGCATGCATGTTGGCTGTATGTAACTAATAGAAGACTTAGCGATCTCATAAGTCCAAACAAGATACTTGTGCCCCATCCAGTGGTGGTTGAAACAACTGCAGAATGCTCATCTAAAATCAAATCCAAGCACTAGTGTGATTAAAATAACAAGAGCATCTGGCTGGCATGTTTCATTACTTGGTGGGTGTGTACTGGCATATCAGCAAATCCTTTCTAATGCACATCACGTTTTACAAACTCTCCGCGATTTGACTGAAAGAAGGGGACACTTCAGAAAATACGCACTTCACAGAGAATGTCCTGCACCTCTCTGTACTACCCTTGGCCTTTTTTCAGTTCTTGACACGCCATCATCCTTTGAAGAACCGTGTAAAGGGTTCCTATCAGTGATCCCCGCCTCTGAAAAGTCTTAAGAGTCGGCCTTATAAGCGGTGAACCCTCACGAATGCTTTTTTAATGAGCTGTCATTTACCGATGTAAAGATATGTGAACTGACTACATTATGCATGGGACTCACGTCTGCAACGGAAGGCTCTGTAAATAGACTGTTTTCAGCTTCACTAGCTCAAGAAAAAAGTGGGAGGGGATGTCTGCTTTTCCTTAAACATAATTCATCAGTGCTGAATACAAGCAAGCAAATGGATAGGCGGAGAGGATAAAACCAAATCATTCTTTTAAGGTTTGCCTGTCACAATGAATAAGCATTCAAAACCTTGAAAACATTCACGATATGAGGCTCGCACAAAGTACATAGAACATCCTTGTGTAACGAAACACAACTTGCAGATTGAACGTAATTGTGTTGATTCTTTCTCAGCACCATTTCACAAACATTGCACTGTCAAAGCTGGCTGACAGGCCATGCGGAAGAGTGACATCAGGTATCCAAGAGCCACAACTGACCCGAGGCCATCAGAAGGACACATAGCTACAAAAAAAATCATCAAATGTCAAGTATGGGGGACACGAAAGGCAAAGGGATGTGGCCTACATGTACATGGCGTTGCCATACCAGGGGCTGCCGTTGCCCTAAGAGGGACTTCACTTCCATCAGGCAGGATGATCGGCTGGACTGGGAATGTGTTATGGTTATTTTTCCTGACAGCCAGCCGAGACAACTAGCTTCCAGGAACAGGGAGGTGGATTATGTGGTTGGACTCAAAGCAAGCAGTTTGAAAACCTATTCCAGTGTCTCCTTCTTCTATTACAGAAAAATATATATATATCCAAAAATTCAGAAGAGACCCAACCTGCATACTCAGACCACCATATGATTTCCACAGCTTAAAATACCCACCTTATAAAAAATATATTTCCGTCCATCTGTTTGTGTGCAGGTCTCTGTGCGAGTGTGACAAATACAAACTTTCCTACAAGTAAACCATAATATCTTAAACCCTTAATTATTGTTTACCACATCACAGTTATGGTTGAGCCTACAGGAAAACAAGGAGCAATGTGTGTGTGTGTGTGTGTGTGTGTGTGTGTGTGTGTGTGTGTGTGTGTGGCAATGCACATGTATGGTAATGATTTATTTGATTGCCATGTGGAACTGATATCTTTTCTAGGTGGGTTGGAATCTATTTATTTAAATGAGCGTTGTGGAAAGACCATTTGTTATGGTGCAACATTTTGACAGTCATCGAGTCATCATCACGTTTTTCATCTTTAAATGCCCTGATTATGTCAGAGTTATCTGTCCCTTTCTCTAAATTAATCAGACCTAGTTACAGAACGACACTAATAAAACTAAAAACTATAAATACCATAAACCATAAAACTAGTCTACTGCGTTGCAAATACAACCGCACAATCTCTGATTGAGAATGAGCTTTTCTCTGCTTTTATTTTGAAGGCAAATATCGGCCTTGTCCACCGGAAACTAGTTGTTGCCCAAGAAACTTGACCCGACGTCACCATGGAGACTGGACGCGGAAACTCGGGTAATTTAGTGACATTATCAATGACTTCATCGGCAGATTAGTTTAACTAACTTAGCTTAACAAGACCAGACCAGCGCAACACATGGCGGCACCAAAAGAAGACATTTCCAGGACAGGACGGGCGGCGAGGACGTCGAAAAGAGCCGACAAATCGTCTCCAGCGTCCAGTCCGAACTTAATGGAAAGGTAATTTCCATCAAAACGTTCAGAACCTGTGGCGAGTCCAGGCTTTCTAACCCCGCAGGGTGAACGATTTATAGACTGTGTTTGTGCTAAAACTCAATCAAAGCACCGCACAAAAATCTGTACGAGTGAAGTCTTATTTCAATGTAGAATCAGACAGAAGCAATTTAGCATAAATTATTTTTCTTCTTTCTCATAGTCACAGTTGGCATCTTAAGACTTAATGATCCAGGAAACAACTCAATCACCCCAATACGAGCATGGCACGTAATTGAAAATGTATACATGTAGTCTAGCAAACAGTGATTTGCTGAATTGTACATTTTATATTTTATTTTAAACTTGAAAGTCATTGCTACAGTGGATGAAATATCTGATGTGTTGACCGTCTATTTAGGGATCTTATAAAATGCTTGAATAGACAGTCAACTTGATTTGTGTTCTCAGAAATTGTTAAATATGGTTGTAGTTTGATACGCAGCACCAACATTTGTCCTTAAAAGACCAGTTACTTTATTTCACCATTTATTTTTCTGAAAACACAAATTCTCATATTCATACCAACCCATAAAGTGAGATTGGATCCCACTCTGTTTGATTCCTCACTTCTTGCAGCTTAAGAAGGGTGTATTTCTCTGCCAGAATTCTGTGCGAACAATGGCGTTGGATGTATGAACACCCTCCTCTGTTGTTTTGTTGTCTGGGTATATTTTCACACAAGCATTTAAAAAAAACAGTGAATTGATGTTGTGTTGGTTTGATACCAAGTCTGCTCAATGACGAAGACGGACGCGGCTTCTTTCGCTTCGATGCCAGAAGTGCATAATAAGACCGCCTGTCAAGAGCTCATTTGTCTCGTTCAGCGATGCCTCCAAAGAACTGCGTGCTGAACAACAGGCGCCATGAAACCGCCGATGTCACTTCCTTGTAGTGACGTCTAATTACCGTTTTCCTCAGACTGCCATCTGAGATCCTGATGAAGATTCTGTCATACCTAGACGCCGCCGCTCTTTTCAGCATCAGCCACATCAATAAGCTCTTCTACCAGCTTGCAAATGATGAGTAAGTACCAGCCGGGTAGTGTTAATGCGACATAAACCGTAACGTCAAATACGTCACTTAGGAGTACAATCCTTCAGAGAGTCCTTTTGCCTTATTCTTATTCTGCCTTAAATCGGCCAGTGCACTAAAACACTGAATTTAAGATTGATTTGTTTATCACAACAATCAAATCCCCAAAGACATTGAGTCAATCCTTAAAAACGAAATCTGCTTAATGGCGTCGGCAGATTTTTTATCCCTATTTTGGCGTCCCATGTCTGGATTTGTATATATTATACATTGTACAAAAGCAGCTTCCATGTTGACGTCAAATCCCACAACTTTAATATGATATATCGAAAGAGTGGAGTCAGGGATTAGTGACCCTTAAAGTTTGCTCCTGCACATCAGGTAGTACCACATAGCAATTGTACTGAACTGACATGCATAAGAGAAGCTAATGTTCATGGTTCAGTGTCTTGAGAGGTTGTAATTGGTGCAGCCTGCACTAACCCGTTAATTCACCATGATGGTAAACAACCATGCAAACCATTGAAAAAATACCAGCTACCAGGTACTGCCCACAGTCATGTGACCTCTTTCCAGTGCTGCTCAGAACACCCACTTTTCTACGAGTGATTTCCATGAAACCCCATTTACAATAATAACACATAAAGTAGGAACTTCAACACATGACTCGGCTTCTTAACAGGAAATTAAACTTTTATCAGAACGCAGCATTTTTCTCTACCGACACCCAAACAGAAGAACATTTACATTCAGGAATAAGTGGAAGAGGTTATATTAGAATGGCAGACCTGGGACAAATAAGCAAATATGACCTTATTCCATATAATTACATAATTTGTCCTTCTTTTGAAGTTGTCCTCACTCACAGCTACCTCTCCCCTTTCTCTACCTTAATGAACACCAACGCCGCAGTGCTGTGTGGAACAAGATATACATAGCAGGGTTTTTCAAGAACAAAAAGCGGGAGCCTATTTGCACGGACGAGCTGTTGCTGAAGACGGCCGCAACAGAGGCGCGGGATCGGGCCGCGGGCTACTGGAGGCGCCTGCACTTCACGTCTGTAGCTGCGTACGAAGTGAACAAGTGGAAAAGTCATCTTAGACCCATCAGCCTTCACACCGGGATGCCCAGCCAGACGGAGCGGGTCCTCAGGTAAGAGACGGAGAGACGGAAGGGACAAAAACTGCTTCTGAAAAGCCACTTTAATGATGCACCTGTTAAAATAAAAAAAGAAATGTAACATTTGGCAAGCACTTAATTTCACTTACCAGCCACATAAGTAGCCTGTCAAGTGTTGTTTGTGAATAAACACTCAAATGAGGGCTTACTGTGCATTTTCAATCATTTGAGTGCCTCAGAGGGTAAGAAAAAAAAGAACATTATTTCTCCGGCAATCCTTGTTATTTAGTTTAATATATCACGGTGTGCGGCTTTACTTTCGGCCAAAAGGAGATGTGTTGATACGTTTTCTTTTTTTAAATTTTTTTATACCACTCTGTAATCTGCCATCGGAAGCTGTTTTTAAAATTGGAAGCAAGCAGCTCTGGGAGGTATCATGGGAACCCCTGCCTTGTTTGTGGTTAGCAAAGAGTCAAACTTTGTACGGATCCGCCCTGTTAGGAAAGTTCAAAAAGGTGGAGACTAGGCAACAGTTGAAGTTGCTCGCCATCAAACCGAAAGCAGGGTTTGTTTTTCATATTGCCTCTTATTGACAATTTCTTATTGAAGGTGAGAAAGGAGGCATCTGTCCTGAGCAAGATGTCTGCCCAGGGGGGGGGGACGCCAGCACGCAGGGGAAAGCTCCCTCGTCGCTTTGTTTTTGTAACCTCTGATTAGAGGCTGTGCAACACTCAATTTTCAGTTCTGCGGTGGTCGCTGTGGTACAGAGGGGGAAGCGGAAATAATTGTGTTTCTTGGAGATGCTGTCGGAATTGTTGAAATAAATTACTTAGGGCCTCCCCCGACCCCACCCCCCCTCTCACATTCATGCGCACACACACCCTCCCCTTCCTCCGGCCTCACACCTACTCAGACAATTCCCTGTGGGGGAATTTGTCTGTGAGAGACACTGAGGAGCATGCGATTTACCTCGGCAATAATCATTTCAACAAGACATCACACACACACACACACACACACAGACAAATGCAGAGCGAAATCCCCCTGGGTCATCTGGGGCCTCCTGGGCTGCTCCAGTTTTTAGCTTTGTTCCTCCACTTAATTGATATTGGATGGTGCCTCAGCGAGAGACACCGGCTGAATCGCAGCAGGGGAAGCCCTGAATTACATTTCAGACACAACTGGATCAAGAGATTTATCACAGCAGCTGGGTTTTCATGAATTTGCTGCATATCATTTCATTGAGTGAGTATCTGTGTTCAGCTAGTAGTTTCTATCTTTTATAATGTCAGAAGCCCTTTTCATTACAGATTTCAGGTCTGCCTTGTGTTTGTGTCATATCTGCCCTATATTTTCTTTGCCGTGATCCGATGTCGCGTCACTTCTTTCTAGAAACTTGCACGTCAGCTGGGAGCTGACGGCGTCCGATCACTCGGGCCGTCAGTGCACACGTGAACCGAGCTGGTCCCACTTCTGCGAGACCTCTGTGACTCTGTGCTGGAGCGGAGGAGGCTGCTTGGCCGACTACCAGCAGATTTCCACCCTTCAAATCCACGGCGTCAGGAGGATTGCCCTCAACTGCCCCGGCCTGAAGACGTGAGACAGTCGGCGTCCATCTCCTTTCTCTCTCTGTCTCACTCTGCTTCCTCTGTTCCCTCACTGAATCAGACTGTTTTTTTTTTCCTTTCGCCTGCTCCCTCAGACCAGGATGGAGGTCCCTCATGGCGAAGCTAGACATGGAGGCTCTGGCTGAAAGCCCGCAGGTCATTGGACAGGACAGACTAGTCGAACTGAAGCTGCCACAGCCCGGCGTCATCATCGGAGTCTGGAGGGTAATTAGTGCAGCTATGACATTTTGAAATGATTATTCAGGTAATCGGAACAATTAGATGTGTCGTTGTTTTTAGTACTTAAAATGACAACAATGTACCTGAAATTCAAGGGACGGCTCTGTTTGCAGGATCAGCCATCAGTTGCATTTGTCATGGTCACCCTTCACTTCCACAGGCTGCTGGAAAGAAGCAGCCAGGGATCTTCTGTTCGGTAGGCTGCACTTAAACAGCTTACATGCCTCATCCTCATCAGATCGTTAGGCCGTCAAGTTTTACTTACACTCCTATAATGGGGAGTCACAAGTGGACATTATTTTAAATGGTCGTGTTGGTAACAAAGTGTTCATATTTAGTTCTCCAATGAATGTGAAAATAAAGAAATACTCACAACAACATATGTGATAACAATTTGTGGAGCTCTTGAAGGTGATACATTGATCGTCTGAGAGGAGAGACAAAACATCATTAGGGCCACAAAGCAGTCTTGATAAGGCAACGACCATTGTGAGCCAGCACCTACTATGAGCGGGGACTTCAGCATAGCGGGGCTGTAGCCCCCTCTCCTGGTCTCACGTTAGAGCACATGGTGATTCCTGTCCACAGAATAAACCTCTCACGTACCTCATCAATGAAATACTGTTTTCTTAATGTTTTTCTTCATCTATACACTTAGTTTCCTCTTCTTCCCCCCCTTCCTTTAGCCCCTACGTGGAGCCGATAATTAAATCCCCTTTTGATGACATAGACCCAGAATATGGTCTCCATGGCTACCAACTACACATTGTTCTCTACAACAGTGCGTGCACGATCATGTCCAGAAGCTTCCCCCAGATCTTCTGCAGGAGAAGTACATTCCTACTTATATTCACTAAGATACACTGTGCTGTGCTGAATGCACCATTTCACAATGATCTTTAATTGGAGCAGGTGTGATTCATATTTAATTCATATTTGTCAGAGTTATACTGAGCAAGGTTAATGCAAAATCTCCACGATTGGTTTGCTTTGTCTTTTTTCATACAAAATATGGTTATTATGCCACTGCAGCCACGTGTTTAACACAGACAGATTTTTCTCTCAGGACATCAGGAGCGTGACCTTTTAACATTGACATTATCTTTGTCCTTTGTGAATCCTTTGCAGCATCCTGCACATTGCAGTTTGCTTTTCAACTCGTTTTCAGAATTAACTACATGACATTTATTTGCTATGTTCATTAAAACAATTGTAATTGAGGATGATTAGGTCCAACATTGAATAACTGAACTCGTTATCTGCTTTTTAGCCTTCACTAATCAAGTGACAAAATTATTATTGTTTTAGATTCACTCGTCTTTTCTTGTTTCAACAGCTCAGATCAGCGATGGTCTAATCCCGCTGCCTGCCATTAGCAGCACAATTAACTCGCAGCACACACCTCTATCCTGCGGCATCAGCCTTCCCTGGAGGTGTGAGGCCCTGCAGGGCGCAGTGAAGGTACGACACAAGCAGTTTCACCACGTAAAGAAAGAAATGCAAGCACAAAACATACATTACGGACTTATTGGTTAAAGAAACAACATGATGGTTTAGTTTTAATGTTCACAGACATATTAAAAAGATGGATGAATTTTGACAGTTTTCACTCGTTGTATTATAAATAAAGATTAATACTTAATGGAATCCCACTAAAATCCCACAACGTCTTGCCAGAATTGCTGCATCATGAGTTTGACTCTACTGGACGAATTCAAGACCCCTTTCTGGTGTGTCGCCTCTCCTGTTTCCATGGAACGCGAGAAGAATTCTGTCTCCTACGACTATGACGGGAAGCACTTCCTGATCCACTATCGCGACTCAGAGGGTCAGGTGAAGATGAACCTTGTCTGGATGAAGGAACAGAAGCAGTTTTTTGTTATTTCATTAGTTGTCTCTGTGTCTGTTTGCAAAGTCAACAAACATTTCAATAGAAACTACTGAACCTGCAGTATTTCTTGAGCAGGCTGTAAGGTTTTAATTACAACTGTTATTTTGATTAATGATTCTGATTGATCTTTTAACCTGTCAATTAAACATATGTTTGCTACGTGATATACTTGTATCATTTTATATCAGCATATATACCTTAGCAGAAATGATTTACTGATATTTTTGATTTGCAGAAAATGTTGCTGTTCAAAAGAGGATTTTTTATTATTTTGTATTTAAATGCTGTAATGTAAATAATAATAATTTGCTTTGAAAGTCTAATTACTTGTAACTTGGTGTTACATTAACATTTTTATAGCGTTTTGAGACAGTCAAGAGGAGGTAGGGGAAAGAAATGTCAAATGGGACATTTAATAAACAATTTACTGTTGAATTGCCTGATTGAAAGATATTGAAAGCATCATCAATCTGAGACAAAACAAGCACTATGTGCAGACGTATGAGGTATTTTTTATCGGTCTTAAATCCGTAGTCAGAATCACACTTTTGTGCATGTGATTATTTATCACGGTGACAACTGAGTTGGCCCTCTTGACTTATTCAATGCAATAAGAGTAATCAATTCTTTTCGCCGAACAAATAAAGCTGTGAGTTTAGATTATTTGTTAGTCATTTTTTCAATATCACATCACTTCACCATGACATTTAATTACATTTTTTTTTTTTTTATAACATTTTACCATGAAAATCATGGTGAAAATCATTGTCATTCACATGGAGTTATTTTGTAAATGGAGCCCTGGTGTGCACAAAGCTGAACATTTACCCCACAACACTTAGTCATCCTCCCTTATTGTTGTTCCAAACTACAGATATTATACTACTATTACAATACTACGAATAGTCATTAGGAATCCTTCTTAATCATTAATCATTTGTATTAGGGTTCCGTTGTGTATTTGCCATTATGCTTTGTCCATACATAAAGACCTGTGTGTCCACAACCTTGAGCATGCACTAATATTAAGCATTTAACCTTTAAATGAAACCCCATTAGCACACTTTTTAAAGTTTTCTAAACGAGGTCATCCTTCACATGTTTAAATGCAATGAAACTATTACTGCTTTTGTATGAATCACGCAAATTAAGTTTACGTTTTCTATTATCCTGTACGGCCAAATTATCTCAATTGCATTGTCAGCCATTATGCAATCGCTTTTAGATAAAACTTGAGTTTAATGTCCACACCCTGGGCAAGTCTGGCAGCAGCAATATAATTAGTGTAGGAGCAATGGTTTCAAACAGTTGCTCTGCTGCATATCATGGGGCAGCACTGCTGATGGCAATAAAATAACTCTGTGTAATAGGATTTCAGAGGCACCCCTTTCTTTTCTCTGTGAGGGTCATCATCACCTTGAAAAGATGCTTATTTTCACCCAAATGCCAACGTTGTTGGCATAGGATTAGAAATCAAGGAAATGAGTCCTGAGGGAAAACCAAGGGCAACAATATGTGATGAATTGGGTTTTTTTTTGTCTCATAAGCTCCACAATTAAGTGTAATGTCTATGGATCACAAGGAATCCATGTTGCCATAATTTGAACATGTTACATGTGTTATATTCTCCAACTCCATCCACATCAGGACAGTTTGAAGGCTTAATGGCTGTGGAATTTGCTCGCTGTACAGATGAAAGCCATCCAGCAGCACAAGGGATGGCTGGGTTGACAATTTGAAAGTCTTGACAAATGAAATGAAATTGGCTATTACCTGGACTGGATGGCATGTAACACATATGACTCCCAGGTTACAAGTGTGTTATAACGCATTTCCATCACAGTGGCCTTCATGGTGCCGTTTGCTGTCAAACCTGCCGCTGCAAACTGCCAATCGTTCATTCTCAATTTTATTAGAAAAAAATGGAGTCAAGGGTATTGTGGATCGGTTAATGGACTTGCATAGAGCCACTTATTCAAAGGTTTGAGTAAAAGCTATATAAAGACTATGGATATGGGGGGCAAGGACTAGGAAACCTTGACTGAACGTAATATTTGGTGTCGTGGAAAATATTAATTTAATGTCCTGACAGTGACTTTAAAAATAAGAAGTATTACTGGAAATACAACAATATTTTCATACAAGCATGCTGATGTAAAATAGTTTGTATATTTTGATATGGGTGGGCTTCCAGTAGATGGCTCTCTTTAATAAACAATGGGAGATTCCTTAAAACAGCACATGCCGTTTACATTGTGTCCAAAACGTAATTTTAGAGAAACTCAGCAATGTTTAGTTTTATTGTCAGCACAGCATTGCTCTTTTGAGTGGATCATCTCTGAACTAGAAAATATCCCCCCCTACCCCCCCACACCCGCCCCCTTTCCCAATGATTTTCTTCTTCTTTTCCTCTTTGCAGAGTAATTGCAAGTCCAGGTGTCAATCACTAGTTTAAACACACATTTAAACACTTTAACAACGATTAAGAAAAAGCCAGAGTCAAACCACTGAATGGTACATTTAGTGACATAATGCTTCACTAAACTCATCTTTCTGAGTTTCCTCACAGGCTAATCTTGGAAGAAAATTGCTTCCATTTTTAGCCTCTAATTCTCTCCCCTGTGAGTGACCAGCTGCGTCCGCAAATGTTTCAACCTCGGAAGCCAATGAAACCGTCCTTCTTTTTTAGTCCTCTCATTGGGAGAAAACAGTCGGCTAATGAAGGCTTGGTTACGTGTGCGCGTGTGTTTCTGTGAACACAAATCAAAATGCATGCTTTGTCCTGTTTTCATTCACAATGACCTTCCAAACCGATTGTCTGAGAAAATATTAGAGCATAATTGACGTCTCCGGGAAAAAAGACCGGGAGATAATCACGTGCCACAGTGATGCGCGCAAAGCCTACAAAAACGCCTTAACCCCCGACGTCTCGGATTTAACACCTCATTGTGTGTGTACTTCAGGCCAGATAAGTTATTCATGCTGTGGGCCGACCTGTGAGGGGCGACGGCCTTACAATAGGCTCATGAGGCCCAGTAAGACCATCCTCCCCTTTAACTGGTTCATCACATCTTAGAATTGTCCATTCATATCAAAGCTATGTGGATCCAACAGCACAACGAGCAATGCTGCCGGGGTGACATTTATGCTGCCGTTATAGAACAGATGTAATATCCTGCATATCACTTCAGTCCAGGTAGTGATGATAACCTGTAGTTCTTCTAGTAGAGATATGTATTGTCAAGTATCCAAGTAAATTGAATTAAGTGTGTTTTACTTGAAAATTTCACATGTTCTATTAACCCAACGAAAATTGTACATTTCACTACACTGTATTTGAAGAAAGTACACTTGCTAAATTGCTAAACGGACGGTGCATTTGTTGCCATTTGATATTCAGTCTTGAACAATATCTGCTCCCAAAAGGTCTTCCTGTCCTTTACTCCTCATTATCCTTTTGGATAACTGGACAGTTAATGTTCCTTGTTTCATAAAATAAATCATCTGCCACCATTTCTCTCTTCCTTGAGCAGGTTACTGGTACGTGCGCCGGGGGCATGAGAGGGGTGGACTGATTCAGCACATTATGCAGTATATTGTAAAAGCTCTTTCAACATTTTCTCACGGATCACTAGTTGTATTAGCCTCACACTAACATCTGGCTGGTCTCTGAGCAGATGCTCTCCTGCTGAGGTTAAATAGCAGTTCAAAAAGGGTTGCTTGGTCAACAGCATCAACTTCAGGCAAACAGAGAAGATCGCTCTGTAACAGAAAGATAACTCATTACAACCTTCGCCAGGGGTTTGAAATGGTGTACACTTCCTGTTTGCTCAGTGGGCAGATTTGGTAATACCAGCATTAACACCCTTTATCTCTCAGTTTCCACATTATTTCCATAATCATTTGTGGTACTAAGCCGGCCGTTGTCTGTTTTCACTCAACAGATATCAGATTGGTACCGACCTTCTCATCTGGATCACGTCATGACCGCTTGCTGCCATTGCAAACATCATGTATCCAAGACAAGATTGTGACATTAAGCAAAAATAGATGTTGTTTTCTAACCAAAGCAAATGTTGAATCCAGCGCCTTGTGTTGGATGCACACATCAGGCAGGCTTCACAGAAAACAGCCCCATGCTCTGCATCTCTGTTAGCGAGTTCCTAGAACAATTGGTTTTCAGGCAAAGGTCTGTGCCTGAGGCTCACTCTATTGATCTGAACCACTATTATGAGGGGGGAGAAAACAAGGAGAACACAGAAGCAGAAATTTGAGGTACAGAAAGACAACCTCCTTCATTATGTGCGAACTGACATGCTGATTTTTTTTATAAAAAACGCTGCGGTTTTGCATTATGATGCTCTCTATCTACTCAGTGTCAGTGACATTTTTCACAAATCAAACCAAACCACGTGCCATTTACTTCCACTCTCCCAGCCTCTGCATTACCAAAAACCAAGCGGTTTGTTGTCTCTGTCTCTGCAGTGTGTTGCTGAGACTTGACGCTGGGAGACTCCCAGGGGGACCATCAGCCATCGCTTGTGTCTGACTGGTTGCTGTGAAGTGCCACGTGGAGTCCTTCATTGCCGGCTTACAGCGCCGACTGAGAGGAAATGCTTTAATGTTCGCGGTCGCCGCTGAGAATCTGCATGGCTGCAGTGTATCACGCTGGAAAAACTACATTGGAACGTACACACGCTGTATATCCGTTTTAAATCTCGTGCTTTAAGTCCTTTGCCAGCGTTTTAACTGGAAAATAAATTAGCTATTACGCACACATTCAACAGAGCAAGCCATCTAGTTGGCGTTGATTACCTTTTAATCACATCTCCGTTGTGGGCGGGTGCACCTGTGTGTGACACCCATTAAAGATGATGGCTGTCACTGTGGTTCGGATAACATTTCCACGTACTTGCAGGTGTCGTAAAAAGCAAATTGAGGCAGGTATTTGGGCAGTGTGCCACACTGATACTTGGGCCTCAGGTTCGGTCTGGTGGCTATTTAGGCTTGATGATTTATGCTTGACTATTTATGTCCAACAAGCGACATGCGAGGAGGCAAAGTCGGCAGTATTTCAGCGTATGTGTGTTACAAATTGGTCACGATGCCTGGATTCATTCGGTTTGAAAAAGAATTCCGCCAAAATGAGGCCTCGCTAAGCTGTCGTATGACTTTACTCACTCAGACACTCCATGATGGAACGGGTCAAATCTGCATTGCAGCCAAAAATGACAAGGCGGCGCATACACGTCCAAGCAATGAGCGCCGTTCGTTGGGGCGAAGGCTTCTCCATCGTCTCTCTTACTTTGTGTGGTTTTGTGGCGAGAGTCTCCATTTACAGGCATGATGATGATTGATATTATCGGGTCACAAATTTTCCGCTCGAGTCTCCACACTTCATGATCACTCACCTCTGGTATTAGTGAGATGAATGATCTTTCTTTGTTTCAAACTGGAGAGGTAATTTTACTCTTGTGCTCACGTGAAAGCGAAAGCAGGGAGGGGGGGAGAAAAAAAATGATACGGAGGAAACGCAGCTTAACAGTGATTGCTGGAAATGGAGGGGATTATTTTTCATGTTCACTTTAAACATCCTCTACTGTTCATGACGCTGCGTGGAGACTTTTAGATTGAAGATAAAGCCTCTTGTTTTAATGCAGATT